TGTTTTAGTTCCTGATTTACAGCATCCGCAGTTCTTTTGGTTTTTAAGAAAGATAGGACCTCCAGTGCCATTACAGATGACACATCAACTGTACTGAGTAGGCTGGTTCTGAGCTAATTAAAATCTAGCTGAAGCCTGTTTCAAAAACTTTGCAGCCAGTCAACACTATTGAAATCAAATGTCTATTTTTAAGTTCAAGAGGATTCCCCATACCACCCCAACAAAACAGATATTAATACAACTACCTGATTACAACATACTTCGTCATATCGTCAAAATGTTATAAAATATCTATAACATGATCACTTTAAATGGCTTCTGCAAAATTCATTTGGGAAAATATTCTAGACTCCCTTTTTGCTCATTAGAAGAAATCCACAGCACTAAGCCATATTCTGATCAATACTATAAAGATAGAGAATTTATCTCTGCTTGATGGGGAAGATTCAGATTATGTAAGTAATAACAAATATTTCATAACGCTGACTTGTTCCCTGCAGAATTGAAAAACTTTTATATACAATGAGACAAGTACTTTGACAAGCTATTGAGCATAATCAAATAGCTCTGAGTGAAGGAGGTAACAATTTATTAGATAATTAGCTCTGCATTGAGGAGTAGGTGAGCGATAGCTTGAACTTGATATATCAAAAGGTACTTTGGCAACTATAAAGCCAGCCTGTGTGGAGTTTTGCTACTGCCAAGTGTTGAATTTCAAATCATTACAAGAATGATGAAAGCTTTTATATGGTTATTATTTGGGAACTTCAATTCCAAAAGTGAAGTAAATAGCTAAGTTGTTGGAGGGGATTATGAAAGACAGAATTTACATGTATTTGGAAAGGCAAGGACTGATTAGGGCTAGTCAACATGGCTTTGTGTATGGGAAATTGTCTCACCAACTTGATTGAGTTTTTTGAAGTAGGAGTGAAGAAGATAGATGAAGGCAGAGGGGTGGACATTGTCTACATGATCTTCAGCAGGGCGTTTGACAAGGTTCTGCATGGTAGACTGGTTAGCAAGGTTAGATCACATGGAATCCAGGGACAGCTAGCCATTTGAACACAAAACTGGCTCGAAGGTAGGAGGCAGAGGGTGCTGGTGGTGGTGGTGGGCGTGGGCGGCTGTTTTCTGGACCAGGGAGGCCTAT